ATTCCTGTATTTTTTAATTATTTCATAGGTTTTATATGTTCTTGTTGATTAGAAGAGAAATAAAAATAGCTTACATAATTAATTTATATCAATAAACTATGTCAAATAGATAACATTGCCGTGTCTTATTCACTTGTTCTTAAATTATGAACTACACTGGTACCCTATGTCACCCTTGTTAGTCAGCTCCCCTATAGCCACAGTAGGGATCCACAGATAGCTAACATATCTATAGTAGCAGATATTTCCACAGATATGTAAGTACATGTTGGTTTTCCATATCTGTCACAGTTAGAAATTTTGGGCCAAATTCCTATATGTTACAGATATGTTACAGATAGGTCATGCATATATTTCACAGATATGCTGCAGACCTGAGGAGCATATCTGTAGACTATCTACCTGTTTGGTGAGGGTACGCCTTAATGGAACGATTAAATAGTAGAAAATCCGAAAATTGCTAGAGATCGGTTCTGGCGTAAGTCATTGTTCGTCACGCAAAACCAAATCCGCCAAGTCGCTGTCCTCCGCATCGTCAGCGAGCACCGAATCAAAGCGATCCCAGAAGCCGCCGCCACAAGTGAAAGCGCAGAACTCGAACGAAAGATCGCAGAAAAGGAACTTCAACGCCGAAAGCGTGAGGCAGTGTTAGAGCGCACCCGCGAACAGGAAAGGGCATAGCACGAAAAGGATTTAGCTGTTCTCGCTTTCAACAACAAACAATAGCTATGTCATCAAAACAGATAAATGTGAAATTTTACTCTTCTGTCCAAGTTCATATCTTACCCACCGAATTGTACAGTTTGCTTTGAATTCAGAAAATGTGATCACCCCGCTGTAATGTTCGCAAATTGGCCATGACTTATGCTTAGAGAACTAACACGCAGAGACGTGTTCACCTTTTATTGCCTTTATTTTCGTGTTCTTGTCCATAGCTAATCGATTAACAATGTCTTGTCAAACGTGGTTCATATTCATCGTTATTGTTTCCAAAATTACTATTGCAACCTTTCTATGTAACTCACTAGAAGTGGCAGACTATTTTAGAGTACAATTTTATCAAATTGACTTCATTTTACCTAGCAAATATCGTGACTACAGCACACCACAAATAAATATATTTTATTAGACGTTTTGTTGTGTAGTATCACCGAGTATTTTTACGAGTTGTGCCGTATTTTGACGAGCCCGTGGGGCGAGTGAAAATACAAACAACGACTCTACAACAAAACGTCTAATAACAGATCTATTAAGAGATAAGAGATTTAATACAACAAGTGATCGTGCACAGGAGAAAATCTGGTCGAGTTCACCTTTTAAGCTTTGTGGCGGATGCATGAATAGGATACATTAGTGGCACAGTGACTTTGCTTTACCGGTTAAGCGCCCCTCTAGGTTGGTAAATTGATTACTAGGATTTGAAGAATACAACATTACGAGTGGTTTTCAAAGAAACGACGTTACATTGGGTATAATCTGACGCTATTTGGAGAAAAGTATATTACTCTGTTGACGTGACTTCCTGGTGACTGAAATAATTCACAAATGCAAGACAGTTTCAAGGAACAGGTTTCAATTATCAAAGAAACGCTTACCTGATTGACCGTCTTTCTGGCTTTGCTACGATATGTCTTCCAAGCAGCCTCTGTGCTTGTTTTCACTTCATTAATCGTTTTTAATTCATCAGATGACATACCGGGAATATCCTCCTTACCTCGAATCCTGTCTTTCATCCTGTTGTCGATTTTGTCCACGCTTTGCAATCCGAATCGAATGCATCCCTAGATACCCGGAGATTATAAAATAGGTAATATAGAGTACTCAAGGTAACGCTGAAATAAACCAAAATAAGCCAAAACCATTCCATTTGAATTTCTAAGACAAATTATTTCTGTGTGTATTCGAGCGAGAACTGCAATGTCTACTCTGTAACGTAATCAGACATGCCCTAGTTCTTAGTCCCTTTCGGCAGAGGTAATTCTTAGGTAAAATGCAGATTTTGCGTGAATCATATTAAATTTCATTATTCGCTGGCTACTTGAAATTCTGGAAACGAAAAGGATGACTGTAGTACCTCTCCCTCTTTTCTGGTATCCGTACGTATAATTAGCTTTAAAATTTATCATTTGAATTAAATATCATCTTTCTTAGTGTATGCCAGTCGTTTTCATTTACGTCGCCATTTCAAAACTCCATTCTTTCAGCGTTTTCCCTCTGGAAAAAAAATTGAGAAATGTGCTTGTTTAATTGACGCGATGGGCCAGACTAACCCCGTTTATGCCTGCACTGGTACTAATCGCCATCGTCTTTTCTATCGGTTCATGGTACATTTTGTGGTGCTGGAAAAAAGGGTTATTAAATTAATACTTGAAAAAAGCTTTTATTTTATTTTATTTTTCCAGAAGCCTGAGCGCACCATAGGTTAAATCTAAAGCAGTTGAAGCGGGAAAATGCGGAATGGATGGGGTAGATTTTTTTTTCTTTCTTTCAAAATATATATATGAATTTCCATTGTTAGTTTTACTTCAATGAACATGATGACTTGAGTGCAACATGTACAAACCAGAGTTATCAAGCTTGACATCTTCCTTAACGTTGTGGTCTCCTCTCAACTGCACCAATGCATTCTAAGTTTATACAAAAAAAATGCATTGTACAATACTCGGATTTGAATTTCGATGAGATGCTCCAAAAGTGATGGAATTCAAATTTGGCGAATTAAGAATATTGAGGTTGTTTTTTCGTTTTCAGTGAAAAGTACATGTGTTCTGCGAAAAACGTAGCTTATGCGCAGCCGCTCCTTACCCTGCGGAAGGGAAGGAACCCTTTCCCGTTTTTTGCTAGTCTAAAAGGAGCATAAACACGTGCTTCGAAATTTGACGAGTTAGCCACTATAGATATCAAGTGTCAAGATCTTTTATCTCAGTTTCTAGCTCTGGCTGTTCTTTGTCATCTTTATTCAAAGTAGTCATAATAAGTTAATCAGAGCGTGATTTACGGGCTGCCTACGGATGCTAATATTTGCTTAACATTGACTCCATATATTAAGTACATGAACATGTTTAAAATCTATGTATTTATGCTTGTAGTTTTAACTAAATAAGAGTTCAAGTTTTTAATGAATGCAACATTTTACAAGTTCGTGTTTATCCATTTAACGTCATATTGGTTTTTTTCGCTGTA